TTACTGGTGAGGCTCCTTATCAGTTTTTAATGAGGAGAGAAGGAAAAAAAAGTAAGGAAACGAAATATTGAACAAGGGAAAAATGGGGACAATAAAAAGACAAGCAGATGAGAAAACATGTCTGGAATAATAGAGGAAGGAAGGAAGGAAGGAAGGAAGGAAGGAAGGAAGGAAGGAAGGAAGGAAGGAAGGAAGGAAGGAAGGAAAGATGGGTACGAAGTTAAGGAAGGAAGGAAGGAAACCAGAGGAAGGAAGGAAGGAAGGAAGGAAGGAAGGAAGGAAGGAAGGAAGGAAAGAATGAAGGAAAGAAAGATGGCTACGAAGGAGTGAAGGAAGGAAACCAAAGGAAGGAATGAAGGAAGGAAAGATGGGAAGGAAGGAAGGAAGGAAGGAAGGAAACCAAAGGAAGGAATGAAGGAAGGAAAGATGGGTATGAAGGAACCAAGGAAGGAAACCAAAGGAAGGAATGAAGGAAGGAAAGATGGGTACGAAGGAAGCAAGGAAGGAAACCAAAGGAAGGAATGAAGGAAGGAAAGATGGGCACGAAGGAAACCAAAGGAAGGAATGAAGGAAGGAAAGATGGGTACGAAGGAAGCAAGGAAGGAAACCAAAGGAAGGAATGAAGGAAGGAAAGATGGGTACGAAGGAACAAGGAAGGAAACCAAAGGAAGGAAACCAAAGGAAGGAATGAAGGAAGGAAAGATGGGTACGAAGGAAACCAAAGGAAGGAATGAAGGAAGGAAAGATGGGTACGAAGGAAGCAAGGAAGGAAACCAAAGGAAGGAATGAAGGAAGGAAAGATGGGTACGAAGGAAGCAAGGATGGAAACCAAAGGAAGGAAAGATGGGTACGAAGGAAACCAAAGGAAGGAATGAAGGAAGGAAAGATGGGTACGAAGAAAGCAAGGAAGGAAACCAAAGGAAGGAAGGAAGGAAGAAGGAAGGGAAGGAAGGAAGGAAGGAAGGAAGGAAAGATGGGTACGAAGGAAGCAAGGAAGGAAACCAAAGGAAGGAATGAAGGAAGGAAAGATGGGTACGAAGGTAGGAAGGAAGGGAGGGATGGAGGATAATGGAAAAAAAAGGAAAAGCAAGAATATCTAAAAACAGAATATAAAATGCAAGGCAAGATGGGAAAGGTTGAAGAGATTAGAAAAAATTTAAATTCTGTCAAAAGGAAAGAAAGAAAGAAAGAAAGAAAAAAAAAGCAAAAGTGAAATACTTTTGAAGATAATAACTAAAGGAACAAGTAAAAAATCGAGAAAATCAAAGGAATGAAAAAAAAGTAAATAGCAAAATTATCAAAATAATAATAAGAAAACAAAAAGAGGAAAATTAAGAATGAAAGAAAAGAAAGAACAAAAAAGAAGGATGGCAAAGGGACGCAATCAAAATGAGAGAATAAAAGAAAGAAAGAAAATCTTTGGAAAAAGAAGAAAAAAGATATTTTAAAAATAGAAAAGAAAATAAGAAAAAGAATGACCAAAGAAAGAAGATAAAAAGAAAGAATGAAAAAAAGTAAATCCGAAATAAAGAGAATGTAAAACGAAAGGAAAAAAACGAAAAGAAAAAAAATAAAAGGGGGAAAAAAAGAAAGAAAGAAAGAAAAAGAAAGTAAAAGAAAAATCGAACAAAGAAATAAAAAACAAAAAGAAAGAAATAAATGAATGTAAAATTAAAGAAAAACGAAAGAAAGAAAAAAGGAAAAGAAAGAAAGAAAGAAAAAGATTGTAAAATGAAAGAAAAACCGAAAAAAAGAAAGGGAAAATGAAAAGAAAGAAAGAAAGAAAGAAAGAAACGAAAGAAACGAACAGAAAGAAAGAAAGGAAAGAAAAACCGAAAAGAAAGAAAGAAAGAAAGAAAGAGAATATAAAATTAAAGAAAGAAAGAAAAGAAACGAAAAGAAAAGAAACGAAAAGAAAGGAAGAAAGAAAAAAGAAAGAAAAAAGAAAGAAAGAAGAAATGTAAAATTAAAGAAAAAACGAAATGGAAGAATGAAATGTAAAGAAAATAATGAAGCAAAATGAAAGAATAAAAACAAAGACTGAAAGTAAACAATAAGCAAGAAAATAGCTAAATTTGACATCCCCGTAAAAAAAAAACTGACGTAAAAGTTGAATGAAAACATTTTAAAAACAATAAAGAAATGAAATAAAAGAAAAAAAGCAACGAAAGATGATGGTAAGGGGTGTAAAGGACACCTGTCCCGTGTTTTAAAAAAAAGTGAATTTTTTCCCATCAAGAACAGACGTCAGTATTTGTGTGGAGACAAATGCAGAAATTTTCAATGCAGAAATTTTCAAGTAAAGGAGTCGTCCAACCGACTCGGATGTTTGATGTTTTACTATATGTCTGATCGTCAGGAGTTGTCTCCCTTCGCTAAGAATCCTGCCTCACTTTCAGCCATACATTCACACACATTCCTCAAATAAGTAGGTCGCTACCTTTCCCTATTTCTCTTTCGCTCAATATACCTCGTGAGGGTTGCATCCCGAGACCTCCTTCCTCATTATGTGTCCATGGAATTTCAGCTGCTCTTTTCCTGATTTTGAGTATAAGTGTTCTTTCTGCTGCCATTTTCTTTAAGACTTCCTTCTTGCTTACTCGTTCCGTCCATAAAATTTTCAGTATCCTTCTGTAAAACCAGAAATTCTGCTGCCTCAAGTTTTCTCCTCAACTGTGAAGAGAATTCGCAACATTCACTTCCATATAAGAGGATTGTCAACAGACAGAAATCCATCACTCTTTTCTTTGTTCTTAACGATTTTCTCCCATTTCTCAGCACTTTGCTTAGTTTGTGTCTTATATACCGTACTTACAAATACTAATGGGTATGTCCCAATCCTCATAAATATGTTCAATATTATTGTAAGTCGGGGTAATATGCTGTTTAAGTAGTCCACCTCTAGCAGTGGTTTACCTACTTCACGCCGCTGGCGAGTATTGTATTTCGTTGACGTTATGAAGATTACCATTTCATTTCCAACCTCCGTTTTTGGTTATTCCTCATTCAGTAATCTTTTCTAGGTTACAACAGTGACCTTCTACCGGAACTTGTACGGGATAAACCTTACTGTAAAAAAAGTAATGGTACTTTGTTTAACGAACTCCCCTGTGGGTGCTTCCGTGAATACTTTAGCCTTGATCTTTTTAAATCATAGGTCAATCGTTATCTATTCTCCTTAAACTACCTCTTAACGTAACCGTTATATACTGTACCTATGAACACTAATCGGTATGTCTCAATCCTCATAAATACGTTTGATATTATTGTAAGTGGGGGTAATATGCTTTCTAAGTAGTCCATCACTAGCAGTGGTTTACCTACTTCACGTCGCTGGCGAGTATTGTGTTTTATAGATGTTATAAGGATTGCCATTTCATTTCCAACCTCCCTTTTGGTTATTCCTCATTCAGTAACCTTTTCTAGGTTATAGCATTTCGGAATGCTTCTTTCGCTTGTCCAACGCGTTTTAAGAACACGGTGTCGCCTTTTCCATATTCTGGTAAAACGCTCCCCAGATATTTAAACTTCTGTACTTGCTTGATGTTTATATCTCCATTTTGTAACTCGTATTTTGGGCTTTTTTCTCTTGCCAATAGCCATATTTTCTGATCTTCTTGCAGTTGATGGTTAGCCCCTTTTTCTTACTTTCTTCAACAGTCCTGTCGAAGAGGCTCTGCAGTTTCCTTTCCGAGTTAGCCATCAACGCAGTGTAATCTACATATCTTAGATTGCTGAGATTACGCCCGCCCATAATAAATCCTGATGGCGTCTCAAGTTCCACCGGAACAGCTTCTTCCCGCGGAACACTGCTCTGTGGAACCGACTCCCAAGAAGATATTTCTTCGATCATTACAATCTTAACCTGTTCCAGGCTAGAGTTAACCGTTATCCACTAAACCTATCTGCACAAATTGCCCCTGGTTATGTTCCCGTCCTATCCATATAAACAAACTACCCCTTAAGGCAACTGTTATATACTGTACCTATGAACATTAATGGGTATGTTGCAATCCTCATAAATACGTTGGACACTATTGTAAGTGGGGGTAATATGCTAAGTAGTTCCCCACAAGCAGTGGTTTACCTACTTCACGCCGCTGGCGAGTATTGTATTTTGTTGATGCTATAAAGATTACCATTTCATTTCCAACCTCCGTTTTTGGTTATTCCTCATTCAGTAATCTTTTCTAGGTTACAACAGTGACCTTCTACCGGAACTTGTACGGGATAAACCTTACTGTAAAAAAAGTAATGGTACTTTGTTTAACGAACTCCCCTGTGGGTGCTTCCGTGAATACTTTGGCCTTGATCTTTTTAAATTATAAGTCAATCGTTACCTATTCTCCTTATTCTCAGAATCTCCACTTCTTACCACCTTCTCTTCCACACATATCTCACAATCTCATTCATAAAGGGTGTTTCATTAAGACGGATCAAAGTAATAAATAAATAAATCAATGTTATTGGTAAAAATTTATTTATTTCTTTATTGGATCATGTTATTTAAATCATGGCAATTATGTGTGAAAAATAACATTGCCCAAATATCCACCAAGGCACACCTCCACTCGATGGTCAAAATTTTTGATGACGTCTCTGCATAGTTGTTCTTCAATCTCACCAATATGCCTTATTATCTCATCCTTCAGCTGTTGAATTGTTGTTGGCTTGATGGCATAGACCTTACTTTTGAAGGGAGAAATCTAAAGGCGTCAAGTCGCACGATCGTAGTGGCTAATTAAATTCGCTGTTTCGAGAGATGATGCGACCTGGGAACTTCTCATTATATGTCTGTTTGAACGTCCATTTTCATAATAGGTTTTGATAAATTTAACACGTTGTTTGATTGTTAATCTTTCCATGGTTAAAATTACCAAAGACTTAAGTTGTTAATTCTAAAAGAAAAAGAAAGACGCTTAAACTTAATTCACGTTTAAAAATCGGTCCAAGTTATTCGAACACCTTTTATTTACCGATATAACTGTAACCGTCTAACTTGAGTGTCTTTCGAGCCTTGTAATGGGTGAAATTTAGTATAAAAAACGTGGTTTTGTAATCATTTTAAAACCTTCTACACGTGAGCTGACTACTCATTTAACATGACACCAAACACATATCTCTTGTTATTTAGCATAATTGTTAGTCATTATTAAAAACGTTTCTTTTTCTGAAGAGAAAAGACATTTAGATTTCTTCTGTTACTCTTTCGTCCTCTTCTCGGTTATGCAACATCACGTGAGCAGAGCGAAGTCAAGTTGAAAGCGGCATGCAGATAAGATAATAACAATTTGATGCAGACGAGAGTTCTGGAGTTCTTTCTGTCACCGCTCAGCTAATCTATTTCTTATTAACGTCTGGGACCAGGAAGGCAACTGTGAGTGTTAGATATTTATAACTAATATTAACATGACCCTTACAAATTCTAAATTGAGAGCCAAAAGTTGGTATAAACAAGAAGAACAATTTTGAATTGCAGAATTTCTTTTATTTATCAGGCACGCAGGCAACGCCATTTATCATTTATATCATTTCCAATCGGGATAATGTCTTCATCTTTGTTGTTTGCATCAAAACGTTTCAGCCTTAAAGCTATCTTTATTATTTCCTTTAAAAGCACAAGAAATATGGGTTGACCTCTTCAAATTCTTCACCCAGGGTACGCCACGAAAGGCCATCGGAGTCAATTTGAAAATGATAACAATCTGACTTCCCATACAAAAAAAAAGCTATATCACATCCTTTCCATCACTTTCCAGCCACTGTATTTTTTTATTTATTTATTTTTTTAAGCGTTTCACCCCAAGCAAGGCGGGAAGCCACTAGGACGCAAGGGGTTACAGAAGATTTGGAGCAAGATCAGATAGGAGTTATAGAGGAAAGGATGAGGAGAAGGGTAGTGGAAAGATCAAGGCAACTGGAGACGTCGATTGACATTATATTTGAATAGTTGGAGATTATAGCTATCAGGGAAACTGGAATAGGGAAGGGAGTACCACAGGCGAGAGGTGCGAGAGGTGCGAGACATGAAGCTATTGGAGTAGAAGAGACGGCTACATTTAACAGTTTCGACAGTGAAAGAGTGAAAGCGTAGGGCGCTTGAATTCATGAAGTCTGGGAACCAGCGAATGCAGCTCCTCAGAGCAATTACCATGAAAGTATTTGTAAAAAAGACAGAGAGAGGCGACGGCGCGTCTGTAAGAGAGCGACTGTAGACGAGATGCCAGAACAGGGCCAATTATATTGCATATCCGCCTCTGAGCTTATCAAGAACGAGGCAAACAGAAGGGGCTCCAGGACCATATATGGCAGCAATACTCCATGCAAGGGCGATTTGTTGATTTGTAGATCTGGAGGATCGATTCCGGGAGAAAATTTCTGGCGCGGCAATAGGAGCCAACTATCCTTGCGGTGGACGAAGCAATTTACTCTTATTACTAAAATCGCAGACAAAGGAGGTTGTGTGTTATCCCCACATAGCTTCGACACTTTCGACAACAGTTAGAGTACGTTGTTAAACGCCTATAAAAAATGAGACACTTCCGGTCTTCGCTCTCTTGTCGCTCTTTTACTTCTTGTATGCAGCGGAAGTGACAATGCCAACCTGAACCTTGTTACCGCGCGTAGGGATACCTTCTCCCTTAGCGCAGTGGTTCTCAAACTTTTTATCCAATGCACCCTTTTCACCATATGTCAGAATATCATCCCCCACTTCTTTAAAAAAAAAAGACTTTTAGATATTTGAAATTCACTTAAAAACGCTATGTACTTTAATTCCTACACAATATAATTATATTGAAGTCTCTTTTTTTATCAGTTGTCTGAACTTAATCATTTTTCCTCCGTGTTTTCCATATCCAGGTCTTTATAGATTAATGCATGCATCGCTCCTTCACAGTCACCCTATGAAGTGTTCTGCCTACCCATGCATATATTCTATGAGCATTTCAAATATGAAGACGGTTTAATTTGAAAACTTACATCCGCAGAAAGTCTGCTTACATGACTTTAAATACAAAAAAAACTTTCTTGCAAAATTA